GGTACTGATTTTCACTACATATCCTATCACCCTAAGGACATCTCTTTGAAAATGTTCACTTACCCGAAGCAATGAACATTTAGGAAGCAGAGTACAGCACAAAGCAGCAGCAGTTTGATGGGGCACGGAGTAAACACCATCCATGCCACAGTCATCATGCCACCATCCCATCAGCAGGTTGAGACCAGCACGGCTTCAGTTCTGTACTGGAGGATTTGGAAACAAACTGGGTCGTTCCCCCAGGCAGTAAAGAGCAAATGAGCCAGCACCTGGCAGAGATGCAAGGTAAACTATGTAATTGTTAGTGCACAGCTTTCTGCAGGCAAACGGGAAGAAAGCAAGGAGCTGGCCAGAAGCAATTTCAACTTTCATTTTTAACACTTCTTTCAGGAGGCAGAAACAAATGAATATTTCAACGAATGAAATGGAATACTCAAGACTTGGCAAGAAGGAAGCAATAAGGGAAATGAAGTCAGCTCTCTAGGAACAAACTGCAAAATTAAGTATTTATTTCTGCTTTTGAACACTGGTTTGTCTCTCGGAGGAAGGCTGGGAATTCCTCTGCCCGCACGGCAGCTTAGTTTTCTTTCAGACTAAAATTTGGGCCCTTCCTCAGAATGGCAAAAGTCCTGAGCCACTGGCAAGAGGCTTGATGGGGCATTGACTTCAATAGCATAGCCAGGACAGAGAACTCACCAAGCCATGCCTTTGAGAACTCACCAAGCCATGCTTCTGGATGAGGAACCTCAAAAGTTCACCAATTTTTTCTTCATTCATCAGTTAAGGCAGCATTCAGTCCTGCTGCTTCTCACTTTGACTACAGCTCTCTTTGATTCTTGAGGCAGAACAGCCTTCCTCTTATTGCCCTCATTTGTTTTAACCTGCCACAAGCATCACAAAGGCAGAAAAACTCTCCAAACTGGCATTTGCTTGCACAAAATATTACATTCCGCTGTGTTTTCTGGGAAAGCAGATGTTCTCGAGGAGACAGTCTTGCATTGAGCACTCTGGGCCAAGGCTCAGTGCTTCAATGACACAAGGAATAAATCCATTTGAATTTGCTCATTATGGGAATGACGGATGCCGTATATAAAATCAATCATTTTCACTGACACAATTCAAAACCAATCTCTATGTAATGACCCAGGCAACTGTGACACCTCTTAATGTATCACACCGATCTCACAGATGGCACCAACTCTGACAAACAAACAAGTGGCTTTTAGTTTGGCAACTTGGTGATGATGATCTAACAGAGGGAAGGATGCAAACTGATCCCTTGTAGGACATTCATCAGAAGAGAGATTCCATTGCAGGCTGAGGTTTCCCACCACTGAACAGGCAGGCAGCAACCAGCAGCCCTTTCATCTCCACGCATGGAGAGTGAACCGGTAGGAATGATGGCTGAGAGCAAGCAAACCTTTTTGTTCACCTTTTTGGCCTTATTTTTTTTGTTAAATGACTTTGCCCCCAGATTAAAGCAAGATGTGCCTAGCTGATACAGCTAGCTTAACCTTTGACACAATTGACTTACCTGTTAATTATTTACAAACAACAAAAAAAAACCCTCACCATCACTTACAGGAAAAATCACCCCATCCACAGGACTTTGCTAGCTCAGTGCACATCCAATATTTGCAGATATTTGTATCTGTAGATATTTGTAGATATCCAATATCTACAGCAGCAAAAGAGAAGCTGTGATCATACGCACAGAGCACACCCTCGATTTTACTGCGAACCATGTCTCACAGCGCATGGAGATTACTCCTGCTTGCCTCCATGCTGCTCATCTCTATTCCTCAATTAGCAGAAAAACATTAGGTTAAAATCACAGCAGGGACCAAGGAGGAATTTCCTGCATGTTAACATATTTTTTTTTCAATGAAAATTGAGTGGCACAAGCAGACTTCCCAAATTCCAAGAGGACAACCAAGGCTGGTTTCCCACCTCCATTGATCTGTGGGGCAGTGTCACCTTCTAACACTGCCCACATCCTCTCTCCACAATTCAGTTCCTTCCTCACTGCTGGCTGTAATAGCCAGGCTGCCTGCTGAGCTGCTTTTTAAATCTCAAAGCACTTAGCCCTCATGGAGCTCTAAGTCACTGAACATGGGTTTTATCACATCTGAAAACGAAGACTCGCAAAGTGCCCATCATGAACACTGAGCTCTCAAGTGCAATGTATCCTTTGCAGGGTTCATAACACCAGCGTTAAGTTTGTAACCCCTCGCTCCTGTAAATAAAACCCATACAGTTTCACCAAAGGCAGTTCTTTTTAAATGGCAGCTTTCTGCCCAAAGAAAAGCTCTGAAACATATCTGTGATGAAAGGCCCTCCTTGGGAAAGGTCAGATGGGAGCAAGAAGCTGTTTATGCTGCAGTTAGTGGTCAAAAAGAGCTTCTATTTCTCCTTCTCCAAGAAAATCTTTTTGCTCCCTGCTTCATAACTCACAATATATTTCCTCCTGCAGAAGAACACAGCTGGCTCATTCCAGAGGGGCTCTCCCATTGATTTTAATGGGGAGGAGCATAAGGTGGCAAATACATGACAAAGTTCACAAATAACAGAGCCAAAGGGACACTTACGGCGTTCACTTACAACTGGCTTTGTTGCATTGCCTTTTTTGTTACTAGCACAGCCATTTTCTGGCCGTGAAACTGGAATCCAAGAAACCCTGGATACAAACAAATCACCTTGTTGAGTTTATTGTCCTTTACTGCCTTTTGATTTTCTAAAAACAGTGACTCAGTCTGAACTAGTTACAGGTACGTCTACACCAAAAGCCCCAATTCTAGGGTCTTGTGAAGACTTCAAGGCAGTGGATACAGCATCAAGTAAGCCACGGAAGAAAAACCATCATGCTCACATCCCTTGTCTCCAGTCCATCTCCATCAGATTTCAAGACAATGCGCATCCAAACTCAATTTCAAACTAGAAACTCAGCAGGTTTTTTTGAAGAAAAAATTCAACTCATAATCTAAATATACCAAATAATAGAAAATTCACAATAAATTGCAGCAGCTTACAATATCTGCTTATTTCTAATACGGCATGCTTTGACATAGAGCCCTTCTCAAGCCCCCATCAACCAACTGCTGTTAAGAAACACAGTGATTCCACAGAAGCTTTACTCTGCTGGTACCTGGCGATAATTCTTCATAACCCTTTATTTTCACAAATGTCTGGGGCTGAATGGACATTGATTTGCTGCCTGTTAACATGTTTTTCTTTTAATCTACTGTGATATCCATTCTATTCTGCTTAGAACTATTCATATAAGTGGTGCTGCGGGAGCTATGAAATGGGACTGAAAAGCTGGCAAATTGCATCAGGTCTTAAAAGACCTTTAAAAAAACCCACACTCTATATCTGAAAGCCACTTGATTGGGTAACATTTGAAGCTATTCTTCTTGCAGAGATTTTTCAGGTGCTGATAAAACATTTTAGGGGTGATAGATTAGCCACATGGCAAACACGTGCATTGAGATAAGACTATTTAAAGCTCTAAAAAGTAATAGCTGGACAATTGTTTCACTAATAGACCCGCTATTTCCTGCCTCTTGTAGGATCATTTTAGAAAGAGACAGGCAACATTACAGTAATCAGGAAATCGTATCAGGATATCTCCCCATATTCCTCAATGTCATGCTGGAATGTATAATTTGGTTTCCACACACTTTGATACAGTAAGTGAAGAAAGGAAAAAAAATAATCACTTTTTTTGGTTCCCCAAGCCAGCTCTCTGCTTTATCTTTGGCATTCAAAAAAGGCTCTTGCTGGGCCTGATCCTAAATTGTAAGTATGGCTGAGAAGACCAGCTTGTGGAAGACCTCATCCCAAGATAGTTCACAAAATAACTTACAGATGATGATATTTGTCATAGTACCATGAGAGCACAGCCAGGAACAGAGTAAAAGTCAGAGAAGAATATGAAGCCACAAGCATGGCATGCAACATAAAGATAGTATTAGTAACACAGTACAGATGCTCAAGCAGAATAGATGGCTCAGACTCACACATTCAATCCAAAAATGCACTTTTTAGTAGTTATATGGAATTCCACTTCGTTCATTTACCACTGTATGTTTCCCCATGTCGGCTTAGAGAGACAACTGCAGACAACAAATCCGAATCTCTGCTGCACAAATGACAACAGTCATTCCCTTCACCTCCTATCACTGCTTTGAAATGATATTCTTCTGACTGAGGACAATATTTGCCCATAAACTAATAAATATGAACCTGACAGGACAGGAGTTCTTTAGAAATAAAATAAACAAAGAAGGAAATAGGAAAAAGAAGGAAGAAACATCACCTTCAATCCAGTGTACACCAGTTGTGGTTGTGTGCTCCCAGCCTACACAACTGCTTTCCCAGAAGATGCTGACATGGGAAAAAAAGAGATCTGTTTGAGTCCTTGCTTCTGCAAAACTGCAGGCTGATCCTGAAAACTGACTGCTAAACATGTTCTCATCACAGCAGGAGATCATGGCCTTCGTTATCTTTACGTAAATTGGGATTATTTCCTCAACTAGTTACATTTGAGTTGGGTATTTTTACATACAATCAACAAACTCCAACTCTGCTTAGGTTGCATTAGCCCTTAATGAATGCAGCATCATGACCTGTTGGACAACTGGGGCAGATGGAAAAGGGATGGGGCAGAAAGGAGAAGAAATACAATAAAATACATGTGCATACTTACAGTTCTCCCTCTTTGTGCATACGGTCATGTTGCACACTGAAATTTCAGGGCAAATCTTTCATATTTACCTTACTTAGCAAAAATGTTATTATTCCTCACCTCTGCAAGAAAAGCAACACCTGGGCTGTTTGAGACTAGATATTACCCAAAGTGAGGCGCTTCTTTTCCTCCTGTCCAAGATATTCATAGCCATCAAAACCATTGGCTAGGACAGATATCCACGCTGTGCTGTACAAATGGCAGGATTTTCAAAAAACAGCAAAAGCTATGAAACAAACTTGCTGAAATGACACCTTTTTAAAATGTTTTTATTCATAACAGTATTACATGGTGTGTTACAGAAATTAATGGAAAATTTCTAAAAATTTGTTGTTTTTTTTGTTGTTGTTGCTGAATGCATTTTACATAAAGTTAAAAATAATGTGTCCGTATATGTTAACAAATGGTCATTATCTGAGGTAAAGTTAAAGTAGGTTTAGAAATGTACTGCAACAGTCATTTTATCTTTCTCATCTTTATTAAAAAAATATGTGTCAGAATGCAGAAATAAAAATGAATGAAAACCACAGAGTAAACATTTTTTGCAAAGAAGGTGCCCAGTACGTTATTAGATGAAAGGTTTTGTCAGACACTTGAATGACTACGATCTATCTCTTCATGACAGGTAAAGATCAAGAATCTACGGGGGATGACAACAGGATGGCTGGTGGAATTCCCTGGTTTTTTAATTTAAAGTGACAAATTTAGTGCTAGTGAAGGACGAGGGATTCAACAATTGCACAAGCTGGATATTCAAGTTATCTACAAGACTGGTACAGTGCAGAGGCCGCACATTCCTCTCAACTCAACATCTCAATCGTGACAAAGACGATCTAACTGCATGACACAGCAAGTCAGAATTTATTTATCAGTGTTGGCAAGGGTATGACAGTAGCCCATGGGGATGGCCCAGCTGTCTCCCATGAAACACCACAATCCCAGCCTCGTTCCCTCTGCACCTATTTGTTGCAAGAACTACAGAAATGATCCGCTTCCTACCAATACGATGTCAATGGATCCTCTGAGGCGTAAATCTCTTCTTTTTCTTTCAACATTTTACCTCATAACTGGAAATGCATTAACTAGACAGAGCCTCAAATGTCTACGATGCATCAAAATTGTCTTCTCGGTTCCGTATGGAGGACAAAACCAAAAAGAGCTGCTGAAGAAGGAAGTAGCACCACAGTGCAAATTAGGAAAATAGGCTTCAAATGTCCTTCAGAAACGTTTTTACCTCTGCTTTTAATCCTGAAACACTCAACCCACCAGGTTTTAGTTCATCTCCAATTAGAAAATCAACCTTCCTTCTCATGGGAAAATAAGATTCGCTACAGAACTGTTTGCACATGTCTAAGGGATAAGCATCAAACGACTGTGAATGGGAATAAAAGTCCTCTTCTCTGCAGGTTCAGTGGGTCTATTCACAGCTAATTTTTTCATTCACATACATTCTGCAACGCACTTTGCTCTAATTTCTCTAATTCAAAATAAAAGATTGGAATCATGGTGTGAGATTTTGTTGTACATATCAACAGTTGCCACCCCAGGTATTATTCAGCCTTCTAAACCATTTTTAGCTTATCATAGAGATGAAGGAAAGTAAAATATTTATAACTCCAGGCCTATTTTAAACATGACAAAAATGCAAATCCTAATGTGTCAATTTAAAAACAAAATCTGCACAATAACCCTAAAAACAGATTCATCATTTAATTTCTTTAACCTTTTTTACTTTTTCTTTTTTTTCTGTTTTTTCTTTTTTTTCTTCTTTTTTTTTTTTCTTTTTTTTCTTTTTTTTTTCCTTCTTAGTGTTAAACCACTAAATTCAATATACTGTAACTGCATAGGAACATCAGGAAAACACATTTGACCTGTATAACAATTCTCTGTAGGGCAAAAATATATAGATTCTTTATGAAAATCATGTGCTAAACATATGAACCCAAACACTGCACTTCTGCTTCATAAATGTAAAAAAACGGAAGTTTTAAACTCTTTCATTCTGTGTGTAAACAGCTCGATGACTTCTATGCAGAGGTTCTGGAATCGTAAGGGGATGCCAATGAAAATGTGATTTCTCGTAAGTGGAGTTGCCTGTGTGAAGAAGCTACACCATAAAATCATGTGTTCCCATTAATTTCACTAGTTGCTGACAAGCTGACTGCCTTCTGCAAATGCACTTGAGCTTCAGCCCATTATCGTAAGCACGTGAGAAAACGTATGTGATGTGAGAACCACAAACTGGGTTTGCCACACCTCCCAAGCACTGCAACTTGCTACCTTCTCTACTGTGTAATGGCATTAGTAAAAGAATTCTCATAACATTTATATTTACATTAAAAAAAAAAAAAAGACAAAAAAAAAAAACAAAAAGAAAACTGGCAATTTTCATTCAAACTCCTTAAAGCCATTTCCCCTTAAACAATTAAAGAGTTTAACAGTAAGATTTTTTTTTTTTCAAGTTATAAAATAAAAATCCCATTTGATTTTTTTCTGATGTACAAAAAGTGATAAAGATGAACAATTTGATCACAGAATCAGTTCGTTATTCCAAAATCCATGCCACCTTTGTCCCATTTTTAAAGTCCGTTTCATCCAACTTCCCAAACCAGAATCATACCAGTATTATTTGGCAAATGATTTTTTTTTTTCATCAAAAATGGCACACAGAGAAGAAAACACTTGTCTGCATAGCATTACAGCAGCAAGATATCGAAGAAATAAAAATATTCCTTTTCTGTACTTTGTTTAGAGTTTCCTAGGAAATACTGAATCTTCCGTCTCTTCCATCAGTGGGATTCCATGTCCTTTCTCTACCCACAACATGAGTATTCAAACAGAAAAGCAGCATTTCTTCCTCATGATGCACTAGAACGTAAAGGTACATTTGGCAACATTTTCAGTCCGGATGGATAAACAACAGAGTTTTATTCTGTGGTTTCAAGTTAAGAATCATTTCCGCGGGAGGCGTTTTGCTCTTGGATCTGTCACTCATACAAAACTACAGAATAAGAAATAGAAAAAAAATGACACTGCCAGTGTTTTTTTGTTGTTGCTGTTTAAATATGCCTACACAAGGAAAAAAAAACAACTCAGGATCAGCCTGATGTAAATGATGATGAAAAACATGTCACCGTGACATAAAAAGTGCCGACTTGTGCCCAAAAGGCTGTTGAATGATAATGCCACTGCTACATACAGATTCTGCTTTTTTTGCTCAAAAGAAAAGGAATGCTCATTATTTATATGTGGCATACACAAGACAAGAAATGTTGAAAAGAAGAGCGAGGAGTGAGATTTCCTAGTCTGGATACCCATGAGTTGTGGAGACAGGGCCGGACTCCTGGTGCGCTAAGCAGGGAGCTGTCACTTTGTGCTGCCATAGGGATCTGCCATCGGTTGCCAAAAATTGTCAGGAACGCTCATAGAGCCGGTCCAGGAGGGCAATCATCTATCCTTGCCAGACAAAATCAATCAGAAAAAAGCAAGAGAGCCAAAGGCCTGCCAGGTGGTTGGGTTTCATTCGAGTCTCGGAGCACCGCAAGCCCGTACCAATGCTATTTCTTAGGTCTGTTGATCTGGGCGTAGAGAGGTTCTGCTTCCTGGGGATGATAAAAATAAAGTAAGCGGAAATGTCTCCAGACATTTTGAGAACATTTTCACAACATCTGCTTGAGGACAGCAATACCTCGTGAGTCAAAACCCAAAGGAAGTGTTTGTTTTCTGTGCTGCTTTGAGCGATCGCGGCACCCCGGTTGGGTTGTGAAGGAAATATGACATTGTTTTGGGAAAGGCATGCTTACAATCAATTTCCTCTTCCATATTGGCTGTGCACCGATCCTCAGGAGGTATTGCTGGGCATAGACACATGGAGAAATGAAATGATTTTTGTACAACTGGGTGTTTTAAAGTTTACGGGCCAGAAATGCAGCTGGCACAAAAGGCTGTTACGTCGGGCTGAGCATCCCACCCAACAGCACAGCAACGCTACTCAGCCATGGATTTCACACAGCTCAGGTAGGAAAACTGCAAGCAGAAACTGCTGCTGAAAGCTGAGCTAACGAAGCTGCGACGGGATTGAAAATAGCAGGATTTTCAGAGCAATGTGGTGTGTGCCTCCTATGAAGAACGAGAAAAGCTGGCTCTGAACAGCTTGATTAGGGATCTGCGTAGCTGTTAGTACAGCTGTTAAAGCAGGGAGGAAAGAATGGTGTTTTTTCTTAGGAATTTCCTAGATGTTGAGGAAAGCAGCTGTATTTTCAGTGCTACTTCATAGCTGACACCTGGTGCTTTCGCAATGCTAGGTTCATCCTGGCTGCAGAGTGAGGCAAACCAGCCAAACGGGGCCTGCAATTCACTCTCCTTCATTTCCAGAAGCTAATTTATTAAACTAAGAATGACATCTAAGAAAAGAACAAGACAGGCAAAAAGGCTAATTAATGCCATACTGCATTAACTCTCCATAGCTTGATAAATATTCAAATACCATGCCAGAGTTGAATTTAACCAAGTTCAAATCAACTCATGTACAGCAGTACCAGAAAAGCTGACTTTAGGCAAAACCCTTTGAAGGCTGGCAAAGCACTGGGCACTGCAGATCACAGAAACATCTGGCAGGAGGTGGCACTGATTGGCAATCGCTGCTGTTGAAGATGCTCCATTTCTGCAGCCTGCAGAGACACTTCTTCCCTATTTCTTACCTACAAGAAGCCCTGAGCACACTATGAACATTAAGAGAGAATGAGCAAAATCTCTCTGAATGATTAAATAAAGACTGCTGAAATTATCCACAGCAAGAGGCAAATACATCCGATGACCTTGAAAATCCAAAGGTAATCAGAAGAGATGAGTGAGAGTAAATAACTGCATCTCACATCCTGTGTGCTGAACCCACCTATGCCAATTTTCATGTACTGCAGACACGAAGCTGGCAGAATGATCTATCACTGCCAGTTCTGAGAAAATCTGTACTAATTAATGTGGAAAGCTGACATACACCAGGCCACTCTTCAGGCATGTGCTCAACCTGAGAAGACTGCAAAGGAAAGCAACAAGGAAAGAGAAGAAAAGGGGAACAAAGGATGTTGTTTTTTTGAGTTGTTAGGGAAAATAAAGGCCTTTCGAAACATCAGATGTGTTTGCTAGAAGTGTCCTCTAATGTCTGTAAGGTACACAGATACATGAAAAGAACAGGTCACCCAAGGGCCACCTGGCATCATTGGAAGAGGAGTTCATTGTTGGCTATTGTCACTTTCAACAGTCCATGATGGAGACTCGAATTACATGCCCCCACCTTTTGTTCATGCCCAATATTTATCTGAACATACACTTCAGGTGGCAACAGCTTTCATTTCTCAATGATTTTCAATGATTCTCACAATGATGTAACTTTTTTATTATTATTTTTTGTGTATTTTGAGTGAAAATCATGCTCATGTATTTTTTTAGGTCATTTTCCCATTTAGATGCCTGATTTTTCTTCTTAGTGTATGAGACTTGTTTTCTAATACTATTCTGAGATAATTCATCAGAGCATCTTGACTGCAGCTCAACACTGCAAATGGCATCTGTGAAGAACTGATAGTGATCCTCCATAGAGCAAAAAGAGCAGTAAAAGCTAGAGGAGAAACAGGAGAGTTGAGACCTGTTGACTCCCCAAACAGCTTCCTCCAGTGACAGGTAGGAGGGCTTTCACAAGGATTGTTTGGGAAGGTTTTAGAAGCAGAAATACCAACTCCCCTTCTTTTTATGCCCTCCACAGAAAAGCCACAGGAAATGTAACTAAAAGGCAGGAGAACTAAAGTGTTAGCAGAGATGTTTCACTGATAATCTTCTGTTTTCTACTTCTATTACTGCGTTAGGAACAGATCCAAAGGGAAGCAAACCAGCAAACCAAAAAAATGGGTCTTTTTCAGAGGAAAAAAAAAAAAAAAAAAAGAAGGAAAAAAGAAAGATTAGATAAGATGGCATACAAGGCTTCCAATTGAGTGTTTTCAATTCTATATGATTGGCCCCAAAGCACTCCTGATGTGCATTCATCAGCCTGCAGGGATGAAATAAGAAGACAAATGGCAGCATCTGGTTTTGCTGTTAAATTACACTTGAAGGGTTCCATCAACTTTGGGTTACGCAGTTTCTGGTAGATGCTTAAAAAGCAAATGTTTTCCTTTGTGTTTGGAGGCTCCTTTCAGAGTAGCATTCACCTACACCCTCACATACTGACATGGCTCCTGTGCTGAAGAGTAGCATTCAAATTAGGAGATACTGAAGAATCAGGATATGAAATCGCAGATCAGATACCTGACTGAAGTGGCGTGTTGGACAGGGGAAGTCCAAGTGTACATTGCCTCAAGTTAAAACACCCAAATATCTAGGTATCTAGAAGTATGTTGTGCAGTGCTGAGTTAAGAACTCTCTTGAATCTCACTGCAGAAACTGTTGAGGAGAGACTTTTCCTTTCGTACGATACATTTACATATTCCAGAGATACATTATGTTTAAAATCTGTTAGTTGTTCCAATTTTAAGGAACATTTTGCACAACAAACAACACTGTGGTAAGCAGTAGGGATTTGTGCCTACACTACTGCATGAGACAACGAGGTTCCTAGTGGTTTTGAATAACATTATGTACCCACTACAAGTGAAGTTGCATCCAATCTAAGGGTATTAACATCTGGCCCTCAGCAGACATGGGAGAAATCTCCAACAGATTCAATATCTATTTGGGCTTGTGTCGGTGAGCTGGCTCACAAAATGTAACACAGGACTTGGTTAGGAAGCTGTTGTTTTTACACGGGTAGTCCTTTCATCATTGCAAGGCACCCTGCTATGTGCAAAGCTCCAGGCAAGTTGTACTGAATTGTAGAGGTGAGGCCTGCAGAGATTTCTTTGCCCTTTGCAATAGATTCTCAGCACTGGTTTTACTCCTGGCTGACTGATCAGAAAGGGCAGGCTCAAATGATTCAGTTTCATGAAATAAGAGTGCTGGAACGCCAGCCAAAACGAGAATCTTGTGCTGGGGATGCAAGTGAAGGGAAGCAGGAGTGCAATACATCTTCTCAATTGCATGCTGATTTAATGAAGTAGGACATAGTACATTCGGCAAGCAATATTTAAATATCTTTTGGTGGTAAGACCAGTAACTCCTACTCACCCATTAACAGCCCATGGCTCAATTCTGCCTATTTTTAATATAATTAGCCTCTATTTGCCACAGAAATATAGCAACCTGCCAGTTAGGGATTGTGGCTGAAAGGTGCCTGTGTTCTTACTACGAACCTGCCCAGGAATATCTCTTAGTCTCAAGTATCTAGTAGTTCAAAAGTCTGTAATTCTAGCATCAAGAAGGATGCCATGCATTCACAAACTGGAAAGGAAAAAAAAAAACAAACGACAAAACAACAGTTGAGAACTACTAACGAGAGATGAACTCTGCTAAATTCTGGTTATGGAAAAATAATGAACTGTAGTATAGAAACACTCCTATCATTTTGGGGTTCCCTTCCTAAGAAAACAAGAGCCATTGAATTACACTTCCCATCTATTTTTCTGTCAATTCTCCTTAATGATTTGTGAATCCAATAGCCAATCTGAAGCAAACTGTAGTGAAGTCTCAAAGACACTAAATTACCACAAGTGTCCTGAACACCAGTTGCTGTGCAGAAGATGGGGAACTTTTAATGACCTCATTACACAGAAAGCTCATAGAACTTGTTCCCTAACTGAATTGCTGTATTGTCAATAAACAAGCACACAGGTCACCTAGTATGTTGTCTCTTGTTCAGAGGAAGAAAGAGGAGTAATGGAAGGTACTAGGCTACTTCAGGTGGGCTTGGAGACACTGGAAGAGCTGAGAAACCAGTGCAAGAACTGGTCTATACTAAAATAGACAGGAGGAGGGAGCAAGTGAGAAAATCATAGGAGTGAGAGGAAGGCACGTTTGTAGGATGCCTCTGCTCCTTAGTCTGGATTTCCCTGTTTCTTATCATATCCATGTTCCCTGGGAATGTGATGATGAATAAATAAGCACAAAAACAGGGCCTGAAATGATAGTTTCAGAAACTGTGATCCATTCCAAGTGCACAACCTATTAACTTCTCTCTAAGGTTCCTAATTCTGCTTGCTGCTGTGTCTTCTTGCAGAATAACAGCTCTAGAGCCTAAGGCGAGAATAGGTCACTTAAAGTCATCATGAATTTCTCTCTGAATTCCATTCAGTTCCTACTGAGACAGATGAATGATGGCAACAGATCCTACAAATACAACCTGTGATGTCTGAGCACACCCAGATTCCTAGTGCAACAGAAAGGGGGCAGAAAGTAGCAGCAGGTTGCAGAAGCAGCTTTGTACGACCTCCTGAGGTTGTCTGAATTCTCAGATGAAGCCAGAATTTTGTCCTTGAGTTGTTATATCTCTGCCAACTGCATGGTCACAGCCTAGATAAAGACTTTCAGCAGTCTATTCTGGAGCTGACTGAAATTATTAGGAACATTCATCACAAAGAACGACACATGGTCCGAGATGGGAGATGGCAGCGGGCCACCCAAGTCCCACCAAAAGCTGATAGACAAATATTCAAATGCACTGTTGCTCTCCTGACAGTGCTGATAGCATCATGAAGGGTGTGACATACTTTGAGGGCTTACAACTGTCTGCACACATTTCAAAGAACAACCAAACAAGCTTTTGAGGAAGATATGTTCTAGCCACAAATGTTTTGAAGGTTTCCTGAGAATCTCTCGTGAATGACTGCCAGAGCAAGTGTTGGACTGGGAAGCATATAGCATAAACTACATTTATTCCAGCATTTGGAGGTACTTTTATTGGGTTAATTTCATTACCAAATACCCCTTTATTCCCTTTCAGAACTTTCACTCTGCTGCTAATTTGCCTTCAGGAATCAGTTTGTCCATAAGGAGTGAGGCAGCATTTCTGACAACAGATCCCAGTATTCAGGGCATACTGACACTTTCCACTCTCTTTTAACCACAGTTATCCACTACCCAGTCTAAAGACAGCAGCAGGGATTAAGTGTACGTCAGCTGAAGATGGCAGTCTTACTATTTACTGTTCACTCTACTCATCCTCCACACTACTCCTGTACAAAGGGAAGACAACTAGATACAAATCTTACTATGAACAGTTCTGCAAATAGTTGATGTACTGAAAATCAGGCCTGGTTGCTCCTTATCTCTAAACATAAAGGGATAAATATGTAACTGATCCATAAAATGTCACATTTACCTACAAAGAACCCTTGGCCATTTGTAGCAGAGCTGTCTGTAAGAATGCCTACTGGTAGGATGAGGATTTTGAGAGTGTTAAGATCACAAAAGGAAGAGGTGAAATACAGAGAAACGAAGATAGTTATTGGAAGATGCTGAACTGCATCTAAATGAGAACATGGGGCATCAGAAGGAACCAAGAAATCAAATTGCTAAGGTATACTGAAAGCACAGGGCACAAAGTACTAGGCATGCAAGTACTCTGAATACATCAAGACGAAGTAAGTGAAGATACTGCATGGGCACGGCTGATTTCACAGAAACCCCAGGAAGTCTATTTGAAATTTCTGAACACAGTGCTATGTCTTGCTGCTGAGAGTCCATCCATCTGAGTTGTACGCTGTGCTGTTCTTGGTGTGAAGAACCATGTTCTGACAGAGGGAAGTAAGCTCCATCTAACAAGCAGAAGTGGCTTTTAGGCAGACTGTGATTCTTTTGTACTACATGTTTCTCTCCATTATGTTTCTCCCCAAATGAGGGGCTCAGTACACAATGCAGTAATAAGTCTTGAGCTGATAATTCTCCATGGAGATTAGATTTTCCATCACTGTGATGATAGCAGGCTTCAGAACTAGATGGGTTGGTTTCAGCAAGTGGATTTCCTACAGCCTGCTGCTGGATGGCACAGTACTGAGGTACAATGATGCCAGTAACTTCACTGGAGAGATCCAGTCTTCTTCAGCTTCCTGTTCCTGCCTACAGCTTTTAGGAGTTACTGTAATACGATGATTACTAGCATTATCTAACAATTCCTGGAATATTTTGGATGATTATATCTAATTTTATGCCAGATTGTACAAGGACTAACAGCAACTATAGAAAAAATACGGAATGACTGACAACATACAAACTTTTACTTTCCAGGTAAGATAAAGTATTTCAGTGTTATATACATAGAGAACAAAAGGGGTCCCTCATTTGACTGCCTTACACAGCACTATGCAGTGACAGCCTTCAGCTACTGCTTCCAGCTACTTCCAGAATTGCTGATAGGTAAATGAGTGTGGTTAGCTCGCAAATGATGCTAATTATCTTAGCAGCAGAAAATTAGAAAGAGATTTTATCACTATTCTTCTTGTGATGAATTCCTGAGTGATTCTAACGATGATGAACCATAATAAACAAAAGCACGTAGGTCTGCGGAGTGTGGGATTCAGCAAAAAGTCAAATCCTCTTTCTTGATCTAGGAAAGAAGGTCTGAAATGGGCTGAGGCTGGGACAGCTGGCTGCACCAGGGCTGGTGGAGTCAGACAAAGGCAAATGGTGCTATGTGGCACCATCAATCTGCAAAGGCAAATGGTGCTATGTGGCACCATCAATCTGCACAAGCAGCTCATGTTGGTGTACAATAACCAACGGATGTTCTTGCCAAGCAGCCAGCCCAGCTTGACTCTATCTTTACACTGTCATTTTTAGACTCGTGGAAGCACAAGGCTTAACACTGCTTTTGCTTCAGCCCCCAGTTGCTGAGCTTTGTGTTGGTGAAGCAGAAGAAGGGGGAGATGCCTCCTCTCAGCACTACATATTATTAAGAGATAATCTTATTACTCCCAAGTGGATCAAAGCTAAGTTACTGTAAGACATTTTTTCTTAACCACATTTAAGTGTACAAAGTGACTCCTAATGAAACTATTAAGTTTGAGTTGAAACCGATTATGCAGGCTCAGGGCAGATAAGTCACTGGTAAACACAGAATGATTTCTGTAGAAAAATAAAAAGGGTTCTGCCACTGTTATGGATTTGTTCCAGGAGCTCTGTGCTGAAGCACAGAAGCAGTATCAGGTCACATATTTGGGTAATACAAAACACGAATGGCAGACAGGGAGAAGATAATGAAACATATCCTTCAAATAGTAACACTGGAGAGTATTTGGATGGAATAACAATGCTCAGCACTCATAACACTTTGCAGTTTTACTGTCTCTTTGGTAGAACATATATATTGTATTGAAACAAATCACAGAACATCCACCAGCAGCCACATTTTCCAATGTGTTCTGTAACACAGAAGATAAAAAAAAAAAAGATCATCTTTCCCCTCTGTCTAGGTTTCAGTGAATAATTTTTGAAGAATAATTTTGAAAACATCAGTTGGCCAATGCTAATATCAGCGATCATAACTTTCAGATGCTTTTAATTTGCAACTGGAGGTAAAAGTACACAAACCCGTTTCAATAATTTTTACATGCAGATAATACATGTGCTGCTTCTACTGATTATCACATTGATTTTGAGTGGAGGTATTCCTGTATCATTACATAATTTTATTTAATGTTTGTTATGTCTATGGGAGAGATGTCTTATCCCATTTGATACGTTACGACTGACTAAAGGCCAGAACGGGCTTAATAAAAAACTGTTCTGCATAATACATTGTTGGTAGTGGCTCAGATTCCCTATTCCCCCTTTGAATTCGAACACAAAGTAAAATAAGTCTACATTTCTTTAAAGCATGCAGGCAGCTGAAACACACACATTCGCATAAGTTGCAACACATAGTGAATGGCAAAAGCCATGCAAACCACCGAGCATGAGGAATACGCTGTGGATAATGGAGAGGAAAAGAAGGAAGAGATGAAAAGGAAAAAGCAAACCATGCATCCATGAAAACAATGGTAGGCACTGGTGGAAGCATAAGTGAGCACCTCAGGGTGTAGAGAAAAAAAGGACAGATACCTACCCCAACCTGCGCTATCTAGCTACCGACCTGTGGACTTATAGTATCGCCAGTTGGCTCACCAAATGGATCACTGTTGGATGAGGCCTGAGACTCATCAGGCTAGAATACAAGAACATAACACCTTTTTTTCTCAACAATAGAAAGTGAAAAGTCAACATGAGGTTATTTTCATGCTGTGGGCATAACAAGTACATCCTATCTCATGAAAACCAGAAAGTGAGACCTCACCACTGAAATGTTCTCAAAAGCCATAATGCTTTTCTACAGCTGATGAAGGCAGGAAAGGACCATATCTATCATTTTGTACATTTGGGTCCTTTTTTTGTATAGACTCCTTCTTGCCTTTGGCTCACTTAGGCTCTTATCTGCCTAAGATACCTTGTGATTCAACGTCGCTTCATTTTGATAATATTTCTTGCTTTGGTCCACTGAGTCTAAGGCAAAGAAATACCAAGGGCCAGAACATTGAGGAATGCAACGAGGGAAGCAACTGGGATGCCAGAATGTGGAAGACAACATCAACCATCATTTTTTAACACACAACCTCTCGCATTTCTTTCTGCATCCTCAGCACTCATGTCATTTTACCTTGGACTCCCTTACCATCAGTATGTGAATGTTGGTTCGTTGGATACAGTTAACGTGTATAAACTTCAGATATGAACTTTGAGTTTGGTTCCTTGCATGCAGTATTAGGACACATCAACAGAAATGCCATGCTGATGTTCCCAGCTATAAAATCAAATCTGCAAATGCAGCTCCCCCTTAAATACCACCCAGTCCTACTTGAACAGTGATCTCTGACACTACCAAACAGCATTTTTTAAGCTAAAAAGGGCTCATCAGTATTTAGAAGCCTTATTGCTACTCACAGCCTCCTGCTCCTCACTTTTGCTTGGGCTTTCAAACCCCTCTTCAAAGAGGTCATCTGCAGCAGGATCGCTGGTATGAGATGCTGATGATTTCGATGGAGAACTCTGTCTGGGTGCAGGGGTTGGAGCTAAACAAAGATTAAGGTGACAGCAATAGAATATTTATCTCTTCATTTGTTCACAGAGACACAGCAGCACAAAATTTGCTCATGCTCTAGAGCCCTCAACTTACATTACTTTACATTACCCCCGAAAACCATTTTCAGCAAAGAGCTGGAAGACGTAAATTTAAACAGAGAAGTCATTATCGATTCTGTAGGTCTGATTTCATTCAGTGGCTTCCAAATTAAGTTTAGCTGCATCTGGCTCATGTCTTTAGGAACCAGGGAGACACTGCTACATCACATTAGGAATGCGTGAGTCGCCTGCCCTACGGCAGATAAGCAATACACAGGGTCTCTGACTGGTCGCTGGTAAATGCCTCCTGAATTCCTTTTCAGCAATCTGCAAAATCCCCCATCTCCATGCTATGGCCATGCTAAGCTCATTTTACAGCTGCTCAATGAATTTCCCCACATGTCCAACACATCAAGCAATTAGAATAAATACCCATCTCCTACTCTGTGCAAAGTATGCCTTGAATGGGATGAAGAAAAATCATTTATAAGTTGAATGTTACCCGCATTTTCCAACCAGCTGGCACGTCCCTAGCACAGAGCATATATTACTGTCTTATTAGCAATTAAATTTCAGGCTGCAGCTACTGGGGCTGTTGATTTCAATGGTCTCTGTAACACTTTTCTTTATGGCTGGAACGCATTTAATAAGCCAGCCCATGCATGAAGGTTCTTGGTCCACATCTGTGTTGCAATTTACTATATGAAAAGTTAAATGCTTCGAGGAGCAGTCACATTTGAGGAAAGTTATGGCATAAATGATACGAACACTCACGTGAGTTTGTTGATGGTGTCGTGGAAGTCACAGGAGTCAAGTTTAACTGAGAGATGTCAAAGTCATCACAATCATCTGCTTCCTGTGCCATCCCAACTTTGTTAAAGTAACTTGAGAAGGCCTCTGAGGTACAACTGAGGGAAGGCTGATCTGGTTTTCTTGATGGCACTGGTGGAGGCTGAGCCATCTGGAAATCTTTAAACATTTCTTTTCCCATTTTCTGTCTGGGCCTGTCTGTCTGCGGACTTGATCTGTTGGAATCGCTTGTGGGTGGAACAGTAGCTATAGGAGCAATGGTACCTTGAAACATGGCTGCTTGTAAAGGCAAAACAGTTTGTGTTGGCATGAAGGCAGTTGGTTGGAATTGACCAGCTACAGATGGCCAGGGCTGCTGGGCAGGAGGAAAAATACCGGGTTGGCCCCACGCTATCGGCTGTCCTCCCTGCATCACCTGAGCAACTGGAGGCTGAGCACCCATGGCCAACTGCTGTTGAACAAGTGGTTGCTGTCCCCAGAATGAGGGCAAAACAGCTCCCATGGCAACATAACCTTCAAAGAATAAAGAAAGCAGAAAAATAAGAATTCCAGTAATGTCAGGAACATGCAGAAAAGGCCACACAATAAATCAGAAATATGCAAGCTACATTAGAGATCCCAGAGCTTCAACTTTTCCTTGAAAAGAAAATGGAAATGCATGTTTGAATTCACATTACAAGCACTTCTATACAAAAACACAGGTTGAAGTATATGGCCATAATCCTTCTCCTTTTCTGAACAAAATGCTCTTCTCTTCCTTAGTGACTATTCACATGTGTCTGTGAAGACATCTGCATGGACCTCAGTCATGTGCCACAACCAAAAACTAAGTAAAGTTTCAATCAGTGGCTGATTTTAAGTGGACCTTGCAAGGCAAAAAAACCCCAACTTTGTGATTCCAAGTTAATGAGTGATGAAACAAGGAACAGTAACTCAGATGTGTATGGGATGGCTATGACAGATTCCCTAGGCGTCCTTCTATCCACGTCCCAGTGTCACCTCATCTAAGCAGTGACCTGATATTACCCCCAGACACTTCACCATCTCCATAACCTTTCTGAGATGTGGTGGCTAATCTGATACTGCAACACAGCCCATCCAATAAGGAGTTAACCAATTAGAAGTCACTGTTGAATGATTCAAGGCACTCCTCCTTCTTCCTAAATGGAGTTGAGTGCTGTCTTGCAGTGCTCTGAGTATCCCAGGGAGAGATCAGCAGTCAAAACCCAATTCCTTGCATGTCTGTGCAGAATGTTACATGGCTTTTGAATTTTGAGCACTTTGAGGAACACAGAAAAGTCTATGGGAAACACCAGGGTTTACATAAGTGGAGCACTTTTGAAATGAAATCAAATCCTTCATGTCTCATTCTTTGTTTACCAAAGACAGCACAAGATATTCATTGCAATTGCGAAGAAACCAGGGCTAAATCAGCTGCTTTTCTCTCTCTTGCAGCTGTACTTAGAAGGTATGTTATACAGATGGCTAAACTGCTGTTGAACTTCCAGTGACATTTTTGGGTTTTCCTTTTAATAATGTTGCTAAATTCACAATCACGTATTTTTGGCTTGTTAAAGAATCGCTTTGCCTTGCCCTGCAGCACTGTCTTCAAAATCCTTCCCACTTCCAGTGGACAAAATCAATGCCCTGAAGATTGAAATGCGAGTCAGAGCTGAGAACTGGTGACCAAATTTGAACCAAACCCATATTTTTGGGAGATTTCTTACCTGAGGGTACGGCAGCAGTGCTGAAAGGTACAGAACCAAACATGTCTGTACTAGCAGGAAGTGACTGGGATGAAGATGGGATAAAGGCATCACCTGGAGTAGCAGGAGTCTGCAACGGGACAGGAATAAAATGAAATGATACATATCAGCTGCAGCATATACTTGCTGTTGCACCTCTGAAGCTCACAGTTTTAGAGGGAAAAAAGTGAAAGAAAAAAGAATGGAAAGATGTAAAAGGAGAAAACCAATAGAAATAAAGAGTATTAGAATGTGCTGGAGACAGGAGAAAAAGAAATGAGAGAGAATTTGTACCACAGGAAAATAAAAACAAGCTTTGTCTGGGCTATATCACACACAGACATCAATATACAGACTTGTGATTCTAGCCATTAGGTGACAGCCTGTATAAGCTACAGACTTAGGCATTAATGTAGAAAAACAGTAAAGGTAAATGAAATATCTGCAAGATATAACAATGCTGCCAGTCAACCAACAGGACCAGAGCCATAGGTTCACATTAAAGGAGAAACAGTCTAATTGAGCAAGCTAAGGGCAAGGAGACAGGACTTTGAGTACCTAGTCCCAGACATCCTCCAGAATACCTTGGAGATCTGAGCCTGGTGACTCCAGAGGACTTTCATTTTCTCAGTATATTCATACTCCCCTACAGCTTAACATAAGGTTCAGAAATGCAACAGGAAAATGACTGTGTTTTCACCTTATGATGCAAAAAAGCCTGTTGAGAATGCTTTCATTCCTCTCAAAACACACTCAGCCCTCCCTCTCTGTACTCTTTAGTCCTCCTTTAATAGCAGTTCTGGGCTATGTGCTTGGTGGAATCAAGGAGTTGTGATATATCAGCTGTAACTGGGTCTTGCTGCAGCACAGGAGAGAGACAGGGAGCTCAAGACAGAGAGCAGTGAAGCATGCAGCTCTGATAAACACCAGGGAAGGAGATCTGCAGTTCAGATTATATCTTATGTGACACCAAACCCTATATCAGATAAATAAAAATTGAAGATATTTTTGCACTTCTTCAAGAACCATTGATTCCACATTCAATTTGCTTCACTTTTATTTTCTTGGAACATAAAAACTACTTTGAAATCCTCCCTACTGCACTGGCCAATCACCTGAACTGTAAACATGCTCCATAAACATGCTGAAAATAGGATGTAGAAAAAGACCCCATCCGGTTTCCCTGGATACTTACTGGGGGAGAGGTTACATCGGGAGGAGTGGACATGTCCCCAAAAAGCTCTAGTTGGGTAACAGCCTGCAAAGATAAAAACATAACATCTCCATTTACCTTTCGAGGAGAAGAAAGAGCAAGTTAATTCACAACAACAAGTTAACTAGTAACGGTCATCAATACAAAACCAAAAGAGCCATGTAGGCTTCAAATGTCCAGTTCCATATAGAAGAAACACATGGATTTGAGCTGTTGGATTTTCATATTGGCCATGGACCTAACTAGATGGCAGCTGATGCTGAGAAATGATACTATAGGGAATTCTCCTCCCTAAAAAACGAATGAAGCATGAAAAAACTACTCTGAATGGGACTGGATGCATTATTGCTCTGCCCTTAACGTCGCTGAAAACCAAGCACAATTTACCCGCCAGCTCTGTTCCCTGGCTCCTTTTCTAAATCCCCAAATCAAGGTCTTAAAACACGACAGCAGACTGTGGAAGTGACAGAAGGATACAGAAGGGAAGGACTTTGAGAGTGCTGCCTGATTTCCCCTTGCCCATGGGACAGGTGTGACCTGGATAAGTGGACTTGAAGGAGGATGCACAACTGGGTCATTATAAGTTTGTAACTCTACATATAACTCACGTTGGAAGTGTTTTCTAAGGGCATCCTTCAGTTTGATCTCAAAATAGGTCACCCGTACAAGTCTCATGTAACTGGACCAGAGGGGAAAAAGCACTTTCATAATAAGGAGCACCTTGACTGGCTGCATAACCAAACCTCTGTCACATGCTCTGGAATAAAATTGCTCACTTCTACCCAACACTTCACTCTGCCAAATGACTGGCATGAAAGTCCTCATATTTTAACTGGAAATTAGAGTAAGATATTAATTAAGGTTAAAACAGCAATCTGAAGGACCCCTACAGGGATATAACAGTCAGAGTGGCTCCACTTTCAAAGGGTCAATTTCAGGACAGCCTGATTCCAGCACTCAACCTCTGGCCCTTATTCTAACGAACATTGATGATTAAGGTAATGGGTGTTTTCGATACAGGCAGAGTTACAAAATGTGGCCAGTCTTTACAATTGGAAAGAAGCTGCTCACAGCTGAACTACAAGGACAGAAATAACCACTGGGTCTGTGTGTGCTCATGTTGAGACCTCGGTGGAAGGCAGCAGAAGCAGTCATACACCTAGGGATGTCCCCCCTTGCTGGGTGCTTTCCCCCTAGATCAGTTCAGCTGGAGTCCAGGGCCACCAAACCTCAGAGCTCCATGGGAAGCCTAAACATATCTGCAGTCCTTAGCAGGATGGATATACAGGAATGCCATGGTGGCAGCTCAAGGACTAATTCTCCACCACCTTTCTTCTGCTTGTGGGCTTTCCTTCTCCTTTGCACTGTACTCAATCATACCCACACATACGGGAACCCAGAATTTTTGGTCTGAATGAGATTTAGTGGCAATATTAACTTGGTTCATCAAATCTCAGCTCTCTGCAACATCCTTTCACATATACTTGATATTAACTTGAGTCTTGACCTGCAAATCTAGCCAACACTGAGCCCTTATATTAACCACCATGGTAGCTGATCAGTCTTCACAGCTTTATAACATAACAAAGGGGAAAAAACACCAAAAGATCTTTTTACCCCACACTTTTATTATAAATGCTCTTTTAAGAAATAAGACTATCGTTCAATATATAATAGTTGCAAAGGTTCATACATTTTTGCAATCCAATCTCTGTTCCCCCTCACAAAAGCAATGTTACAATCAGTTTCAGCTGGAATCTATATAGCAGCTTGGATAACTCTCAGCTTTATGTCTAAAAACATGCCTAGAGATGAATTATTTTATATTTCCTCACATCATGCCATATATTAAATAGATCACATTGCTTTAGTGATATAACAATGCATTTTCTTCATATGAGCCTATATATCACACTAAGTATCTGCGTGGAAATGGAAGAAGGAATAATGAAGAAAACCATGTGTTCTTTAGGGCAAACCAATCTAGAGTGTATGGCAGAAATCCTGCAAAAAAAACAACCCAGAGTGTGGGCACACACACTAGCTACAATGCCCACAGATTGGAATGATGACAAGGGCAGCACTCCTCTGAAGTTGCCCCAAGCCTTGCGTAGGCACTGCTGATTCAAGAGGCCAGAAGACACCATATCTCAAAAGAGGCCACTTTCTCCCCATCTCTCCAAATGACTTGTTCAGCATCACCCCTAAATCTGCTTTTTTTTTCTCCCTGTGTCACTGCTGAGCTTTTTGTAGAGCTGTCCCCACAAGCACAGCGTTATCCATCTGCAGGCAGTGGGATTCTGGCCACCACCTTTTAATTTTGTGATTTCAGTCTCACTACACAACCAAATGCACCCGTTAGACTTTCTTAAATTATTCACACCTGATACATTAGCTAAGTTCCAGCAAAGTTAATCCCAAGCAAAACATTTTCAGATGGCACTATTCCTACAGCTGATTTCATCTGTATCTCCTTAAAACATTTTTAGTGTCACAACCTTACCTGAGTGACTGAACCAAGATTTTCATCAATGTCCAGCAATAAGTTTCCATTCTCCAGCTGTAAAGCATGATTTATGAAATGAAATGAATGATTTATGAAAATGACATGAATTTCTGAGCATGAAAATGATAACCTCTGTAATTATTGACTCCACTATTGAAATGAAAACCCTTTCCATCTTGCAGTGAATACAGATACGAAATCACACAGTCAAAACAAGCTCAGATGCTGCAAGATGGGGGAAAAACACAATTTATCCATGCTAAATCTTCTGATGGATACAACAATGTCAATGCTTGCACCCCAACTATTTACTCCTTCAGATGTTTCTTAATTCAGCAATTAGCATTCGCAATAAAGTCTGGTTCTGATGACATTAATGGAACTTCTCAATGTTTGGGGAAAGGAAGGGCTCAAGATGCTCAGAGGAAAAAAAATACAGTTGTGAATCAAAACTCTAACAGCAAATTTGTGGAAAAGCACGCTTTCCTCTTGCCTAGGAGAACTAACATCAGCGTAACAGCATTTATGATGCTGGTTTTCTTGCCACAGTTGTTTCTTATCATTCACACAAATTGAGTTGCATTTAAATTCTTTTTGTATGTCTGTGTGAATGTGTGAGCCAACTGTCTGTGTGCCCATGCACTCGCACAGGTCTCTACCCACTGACATATTTAAGGCAAATCATGACCCAAGCGGCTTCAGAATGCCAAATTTCAGACAACACTTATTGAAGCAACAGACAACTTCCCTAAGAAAGAGTCTTAACAATCAATCCTCAAAAAATCAAACATTAGGCAACTGAGAAGCTTCGTAGGAATCACCACCCTGTAAACCCACTTCAAAATAAGCTCCAAAAGCCTTAGAAATAGCTCAGAATGCCCCCCCCAGCACTTCATCCCAGTCTTAGTTGGCTCTGGGAATTAAGCAGGGAGGCAGCACGCAGGCAGGCTTGGACTGCTGGAAATTCCTACTTGTGCTGCAGTGAGGCCCTGCCCAAGTCAGGCACACCATTAGCAGGTAGGGCTGCATCTCGCATCTGCAGCGGTCTAGGGAGCCTTTAGGGTCCCTTCCAACACAAACCTGTGATGATATTAAACAACTAGGAGCCTGATAAGACACTCCAGCCCCTGATCTTGCCTTCTGTGGGTTCCTCTGGACTTTCTCTCCTTCGTCACCCCAAAATGTGCCTCCTTAACACAAGCTCAGGCAGCAGAGCAGCGTGCTGCCATCCGCGCAGAGCGAGGCGGAGGAGCGAGCATTAATCCTTGTATCTGGGCGACACGAAACCTGTAATGAAAGCTCCATCTTCCCATACAGGCATGTGAGACATACTGTAAATCTTCTAAACATGAACTATGTAAATCTGGCTCCTTAAAGCAGTAGCAAGCATTTTTAAAGCGCTCCAGCCAGTAATGAAATTCCTCGTAACACTTTTCACTGCTCAGTAAAGAAAAACACATAATCCAAGAGCCGGGAAAAAAAACCCAAAACAACAGCAGAGGAGTAAAGAAGCACTAAGAGATAAGTGAACTGCAGCTTTCATAAACCTGAACCAAAAATGATCCACCTCCACTGCAGTATCCTGTCTGACTGCCAAGTACTCTGAAAAACAGTTTTTTCTAAGCAATGTTTTGAGTTTAAAAGGGAAATCTAAGAGTAGGAAGCATATATTTTTTTTAGCTTCAATTCTACATCTGCAAGAGTCAGAATAGTCAGCTCCTTTACTTGGCCTGGTTTTACCAAAGGAACAGTCCAGCGCTGACTTACAGCAGGAAGAAGCCCGATTAATATTGCTAGACGTTTGCAGATGAGATGATAAAAGCAGTCTCTTAAAGCATGGCTCTGAAATCCCAGAGAATGAAGCAAACACGGTGCTAAAAAAAAAAAAAATTTAAAAAAAAAATACCCACAGTAATTATCTTGCGCTCTGATACAGATCTCAGCAAGTTAAAAAGAGTATGTAGGATACTAAATATAGTGATTAACCAGCAATTAGCAATTAACCTTTGAGCTGGGTATTAGCTATTCAGATCCTCTCACAGCAGAGGGATTTGCACACATTTCCTGCCCTCCACTTGGCCCAGCAGATAACAGAGGGATCGCCTGGCCATGCTGCTGCTCTGTGCTTTTAAGCCCTACATGCATTTCACATGGAAAGTTTAATGACGAGTCAATGGTTAACATGGATCCTGAAGATATATATACATATTTTTCATTTTAGTTGTAAATGTAAACATTTTGGCTACATCAAGTATTTTTTTCTGATGGTTCAAACCGTAGTGCTAGGTCATCAAGGCTTCGGTTATTTGCACATCTTTATACACAAGGAATGCTGATATTACACGAGCTCCACGAGCTGCAAGCTGCTTGCTAATTAACTACAATTCATTCTAAAAAACACAATCAGAACTCTAACGAAGGAGCACAGCAGAACTGTGACTAAACCAATAATCAGTGAAACCGCATCCAGTAGGCTGGGACCCGCTAATATCCAACAGGCACACTGTCATCCCACAGAACTGCTGTGGGATTCATGGAGCAGTGTGATAACTCAACAAAGAAGTGCTCCCGATTACAGACAACGCACTGACAAACTGTCTCACTGCTGCTCAGTAGCCTCCTTCAAGCTAAGGATCTCTTGATGTGATCAAAACACGCACTTAATCATTTGCTTATTTTCTCTTAATTCTGAATTCCCTGTGTGCCTCAGGTATTTCCTTTTATAGGAAATGACAGTGAAATCTTTTCAACCTTTCCCTCCCTGGAAGCACTCAAGGCCAGGTTGGATGGGGCTGTGAGCAAGCTGGTCTAGAGGGAGGTGTCCCTGCCTATCACAGAGGTGCTGGAACTACATGATCTTCAACCAACCAACTCAAACCATTCTATGATACTATGATCTTATAAGAACAGAAAGGGGACGGACCTTGACTGGCACCTAATGCCAGCTCCACACATCTCAGTGTATGCAGTGCTGTACAAAATCAGAACAGTCAATGTCACAACTACTCCAAAGATATGCATGCATATCCACTGCTCTAAATGCCTCCCCAAACATCACAGAAACGCAAGACTCAAAACATTACCCTAACAAACTAATGTATTTCCAAACGTTGCCACAGTTAGCTGTGCCTGATAAGAATCCATGCCCAGTGTTAAGCCTTGGACGTGGGTTTGGACTGAATGCAGTTAAGTCAGGCATTTGACTGCAGGAGTCTTTCAGCAAAGGTAAGTAGTAAGGGAAGGCTTTGCAGGCATGGATGGTCAGAGGTTGGGTATGTGCACTCTCTTTCTTCTCCTGTATGAAAATCGGATCCCAAAAGCTGATGGCAGAGGCTGAAATCAACATCACCAGTGCACAAAGTAAGGATACTGATGCAAACTTATGGGAAAGGCATGGTTACAAAGTTTTCTTCCGCACCAACTGCCACTGAAAAAAGTCACCTCTTAGAGGATCAGAATCATCTGGAAAGCCGCTCTGAGCTGCTCTATTGCCAGACATTTTGAGATGCCACTACTCCAGGGCCAGACCTTCTGTGTGAGCTGCTGGAGATGGTGTGCCCACGGCTTCCAGATGATGCCTTTCAGGCACGCTTCTTTTGACATAGGATCTGAAAAATCTGTAAATGTCAATGTGTTCCTAGCCAGAAATGAAACACAGATCTCCCAAACACAGCTCCCCGTTTTGGCAGGAGGCCCAGGATCCTTGTGGCCCCAAGACCTGGGTGGGCTCTGGTACAGCCCAGCTTCATCTGCAACTAGAGGTCATGCAGAGCATCCCTCTGGGTAGGCTGATGGTCTTCCCACCCCTTTGCCCTAAGACAGCCAACTACTCCCTGCCTGCTCTGTGCTCACTTGGGAGTATTTCCCATGTAGATGGTACAGCTAAATGGCTGCCTGCACTCTGAGGCTTCAGCTATAACGCTTTGAATAGATATACAGCAGTTAAGACGAGTTGTTTGAAAGCCTTCATAAAATGGTAAGCAGAGAGTTTAGACATTTTGATGAGAAGGTTTTATTGTGATGTGACTGACAGTCTCAGAGAAGGGTATTTACAGTCTGACTCGTATTACTAAAAACACCATGACAGGTAAAACTTGATGTGCATGTATAAAGGGGGGGGACGATGGGAAATTACAACAAAAAGAGCTCATTAAACACTTTGCTTTTTTAGAACAGTTAATTTCCCTTACAGAACTACAATTTCTAAGTGGAGCATGTACCACTTAACACAAGCTCTTTGGGGTAAGCTTGCTTTCTTTGTCTGCTTGATGCCTACCCCCACTGAATTGAGAATATAAGAATTTGTCTAAGGAAGCAACAAAGAGGAAATGAAAATGAGTACAAGAAGAGTCAATAGAGTCAAGAGGAAGGGAGATACAGATATAAGAAGAAAACTGGGTCCTGGGAGAAGAGTGTGTTTGAAACTGAGTTGCATTCTGCCTTTTATGCTCAACATTACAGTAGAACTCATCCCAACTAAGCATAACTATCTGAAAGTCAGTTCCTTATCATTCCTTCACATCCTTTAAAGCTAGCTCCTCCAGAGCCACGAGGGAATAACAGCTGGACATATCTGGACATACTCTCACCTCCACTTGAGAGGGACACCTCACAAGACAGGAAAATATTCCTGGAGGTGTCCATTTCTCTCCTCTTCACAGAGAGCCAAAGGTGGATGGCACCAAGATGACCAGCTCCATGCCCCCACCTTGATGTGCTGAAGCTACGGAGAATTTGCCTGAGAACACATCGGAAAAAAACAACCCCAAGATGGAAAATCAATCTCTATCTAGGGAACGTGGGTAATTCAGCCTGAACCTGAGCAAAACTTGCTGCATTTCTATTAAGTGTTGCATTTATTGTCAGGAGAGAGAATTCATGGTGCCTGAAACCTATTAGGAGCTACTAAAAGTTTCTCTCTTCCCTCATCCATTATGAAATTAATGAAAGCAAGACCTCCTAATAAAGGAAGTGTCCTTATAAGTTTAAACCAGGTAGATGAGCTAGATTATTCGCCCTTAGATTGAATTTTAGAGGTTTATATAATAAGGACAGCTATAAATTGAAAAAAAAAAATATGGCAAGTGTCTCAATGACAGAGAGTCTCACACGCGGAAGGGTGAGCAATAAATCAGATGGGCAGTGGAATATTAAATTGCTAATTTTAAGAGCGATCTCTGCTTTTCTTTTCTCTCTCTTTTTTTTTTTTAATACATATTACAATAAAAAGGGGAAATAAAATCTCTGCTATGCGTTTCTCCCTCTTCCCTTTTTTCTTTTTCCCCCTTATAAATTAAAGTAGAAACTTGTTTGGAGGAAGAAGTCTAACCAGCTTCAATATAACCATGAAATAACAAAAAATTAAGTCTGCAACACACTCCATAGAGATGACACATTGAATATATTTGATGATTACAGAGTCGGTTCCATATGCCTTATATCTCACAGCTATGCTCTTTAGCAGGACAGTCTAATACCAAAGTGTCTGCAGGCATGATTGCAAGTGTACAGTGCACACAGTTACACTGCAATGACCTAAATTACAGACTATACCCAGAGTAAATCTGAAATATCACTGAAGGAATAATAAACAAGTCACAGGAAACATACAGAGGAAAAACTCTAACACTGAGCTATGCGAAAAATGAGTGAAAAATCTACAGCTATTCCTGGTCCACGAATACCTTTAATTAGCTATGCAATGTGAGTTATCTTCCTACATTTTCCCAGCCAACAAGATGATGGCTCCCTCCTCCTAGTGGATTATCATGAAATATTTATGGCAAGTTTTGTTTGTTTGTGCAAACCTCAGAAGTGTCACAATTCAGACCCCCATCCAGCCCCTCCCCAGCATTCATCTTTTTTATTTGGCATCTCAGTCTCTGTGCTCAGCCCAAGCTGTGCAATTTACCACATCCTTGTGTGAAATGAGCCCCTCTCTTTCCCTCTCCTGAACACAGGCATTTCTGCCATGCTTACAGCAGACTGAAATCCTGACCTTTTCCTCCATTTTTCACATACAGATCCTCAGAAATACGCATTTTCTGTAACCAACACAATCTACATTTTATCAAGATATTGTTTCATTTACACAAATGTACACGAAACAACACAACCCACCCTTCAGCAAATGTATGTTTTCTTGCTAAGGCATCTGTCATTCCACTCCTCTCACCAGCTTGTTACCATTCCTTATATGTTCAGAGAATAAATGTTTCACCACTTCTAGATGCTCAGATGCAGAAAGGGAATGGTGCCATTTGGACAGAACAGTGCATTACCCTCCTTTTTGAGCAAAATTAACTGTCCATGCAAGGCACAAAGCAGAAAGAATTCAGTCTACCACCTCTAATGATACTCAGCCTGTTAGGTACTTCAAGCACTACAGAAATAACACAACCGTTTGGGAGGAAAACCCAGGGTGTGCATGGGGAGAAAACACAGCCACATCCAGTTGGCATGTGCTATGTGACTGTAGCAGTGAGAAAGGGTGACAAGGCTTATATAGCTTTGGGTAATGAAATAACTCTTCTGATCCAAGCAGCAAAAAATCCACACATTAACATGCAGAAGGCTCACTGTCAACTCTTAACTAGACATCACTTTCATAAACGGTGACTTGCATAGGAATCAACCAGAAAAGACAAAAAGGAGGAGATTCAAGTAACGAACGAGATGGATATAAGCGACATTACCACCCTGGTTACTTTGAAACAACCCAACAACAGTAGATCGCTGATGAAATTCACATCCTAAGGGATGTGGCAAACACTACAAGCAATAATAAAGGTCACAGAAACTAAGAAACGTACCTTCTTCCCTGCATATAAATAATGAAGATACTTACACTTACAGGTTGACTTTTTGGCACATCATAAACACCTTCCTTCTTTTGGCTGGTAGGAACCTGCAACAGCAAACAGACACTATGGTCACTCTTCCAGCAGTTTGATGAAAAGTCGAAGTCTGCAACTGATATTTAAATACAAGGCAGTTGTTTAAGGATGGTATCCTTGACATTCAAGCAGTGATGTTGATGAAGATGGCACTGAAGAAATCGAACATCTATCTGAATTTTCAAAAACCTAAAACTCAGTAGTGCTCAGAGATGAGATTTTCATTCTCAGTTTAGTCCAGCTGCATGAAATTCAGGTGCATTTGGATCTCTTTCCTAAAAAGTGGTTGCTTCATTATTTTACTTGGGGGTTAGAAGATGGACATGGGAGTTATGATCAGGTCAGAATGTCATCTTCCTCTGTAAAAGAGATCCAGAGCAGCAGTGCAATCAGAGAGAGAGAGGTTTGGCCTGTGGCATTCGATATCTTCCTTCCAATTCTTTTAATAACCTAAGTCAAGTGAAGCTACAACACGTATCCCTGCAGTGATTGGATCCCATGGGCTGCTCTAAGTGATAGTTGGTCACAAATCTGCAATTCTGTAAAGAATTATGGCCTGTCAGGCTTTGAGGCTGCACAGCCACTCGCAGTCAGGGAGCTGGAGTCAACAGCCTCTTGTGGATAGGGACGATGATGATACAATTAAATAAACTAAGTGAGTCAACAGTCATAATTTACACCGTGGGCATTTACATCCTACTCGCGTGAATTCATTTGCTCTGTAATACAGGGTTTAGCATGCCTAAGGACTGCTGTTTTACATATTTATAATTTGCGACTGTATTTCTTCTCCTTCCTAAAAGCACTAAATGCCTATTGTAAATGACACGAGCTAAAAGAACAGTAAAAAAAACATAGAGGCTCTAAATAGACACACATGCTCTAAGTAAATCGACGCTGCTTTTCCACTGAACAAAGGCACTCAACCTAAGGTTACGTTTCAAGTATTTATGAAACCTCATAGGTTAAAAGAGTAAGCAGAAATAATCCCACAGATTTGACAGACTGACTTTCCTTTTGTTTTTTAAGACAATAAATACCTTGGAGTTTTGATATGAGCATGGGGCTATTTTAGGGAAAGCTGAAGGAACTGTTTATTCACAGAGCTGCATAATTATTTCTTAGTTTCTATATCCAAAGGTCTCTCTACTGTTCTAGCACCTGCATGCTCACATTTAAGTCTTGAAACTTGAACACAATGCACACAGAAGAAGCTTTACAGGAGCAATCAAGAGGCATAAATACAGAACCCTCACAGAAACAGAATGCAATTTATTACTACAGGCTTATTTTTAAGATTTCTTTTCTGTTCCTGCCCCAGGAATGACTCGTTTCCCTCAGTTTTCTGAAAGTACTGGGCTTTTCCACTAAAGCCATGTATCATGTGAGGTATGCGAGACTGGTGAGAATGGAACAATTCAGTCTAATAGAAAAAGGGTTTCTCTTCACAGACTGATAGGCAACTGTGCAAAACCATGAATACTCTATCTCATAAGTTACTGGAATGCTTAGTCTTCCTTGAAGAGAGGACAAGTGCTGTGAGATTAACTATTCATAAACTATAACCAGTACGCAATTTTTATTTTCTCCCTGGAAAGCTTCCCCTGCAGTCATTCTCTTCTTCCTCCTCTCAGCAGTTCCTGCTTTTTTCTTTGCTTGGCCATATCAGCATAGTGCTAGAAGCACCAGTGCTGCTGACAGCTCTGCCTCTAGGACAGTTTGCAAACCAGTTTGATGTACTTGCATCTTACAGGAACACAAACACCACAACTCAAAACCCTGGCCTTAGATTGTCAACTCTTTGTAGCACAGACCTTGCCCCTCCATACAGAGCACTGCTCAACATAAACATTACAAAAATACACAGCAAAATCCCATCCCCATCTCACTATTATAAAACAGGCAGAGAGATGCCATTAAGAAATCTGATGCTAGAGAAAGGATAGGTGGATGCTCAGTGATCAATTCAAGCTCAGTGATTAATTCTTGATGGTTGCCTTGATGATCTTGAAGATATTTTCCAACTTAAATGATTCTAACTACTACATTATGTAGACAGACAGGATTAAAAGAGCAAACAGATGTAGCTTTTGTGATAAAAGAAAGGCTATAGACAGAGAAGAAAGGAAGTTGTGACCTCTTACAAAATTAGAGATTATCACATTCAGTATTTATCTTCCATCTTCAGCTACTCACTGGGTAGGAGTCTCTTCTACCATGGGAGAATAGAACTTTTTGAGTACCAGCTCTTGGTGGAAAAACAGAGCAGGACCAGATGACAGATTTTGCCAGGCTGAGGTAAGGAGACATGAGGCAACTGATGATTGGTACCAACCAAAACACAAAACAACAAAGAGGACCTTTTCCAATTTCACTTTTAATAAAAACGTGGATAGTTCTACATTCATCAAGATCTTCTAAGAGAGACAATTTTTCTGGTGATCTCAGTGTAAGATGTGGAATTCCAGATTTATAGGAAGCCATGAAGTATGTGGGAAGTTGGGAGCCAGTGGCTCTGGGCAAGTCTCTGGCAGCTATACTTCAGCATCTGCCCGTTGTGACAGATCACAGAATAAGACCTGCTGGTATCTAATCTCAGCATTTGCTCTTTTCAAGGTATTGACTGCAGTAAATAAAGAGCAGGACAATGCTAGACTGCATGCACCTAGATTATGGTGTATTATTTATCAGAGGTATTTTCAGTGCACTTCTGCGCATTTTCTGTGGGAGAAAACACTTCACATCCCAAGACTGTCAAATGAAACCTTGAGAACTCTCTGGTGACTTACAGGCCAGTAACCTTGAGATGAGTAACTCACCATCTCACATTTCCATTTTACGTAAACATCCAATGAGTGCTTCTGTTCTCTAGGTGAGTTCCTGTTCTCTAGCCACACCTCAAGATATACATCCTACTTCTTCCATATCCACCATCAGCTTCAGATCTGCAAACCCTTGGACTGACAACCTCATTTGTGTTTGCTTTCACTGATACTTCTTCACAACCTCCCTACAAGCTTTGTTTGTGCTCCAATGAAGAACTATCAAAATGTTGTTATGTCTGAATGTTGTTATCATTGGACCTTCCTTTCTAGCACAAAACTGAAATAGTCATTTTATAAAAGACTGTTTTTCTGAAAATAGTCAGCTTTTCTATTATGTGGTAGAAAATATTCAACCTTAGGCATGCTCTCACCTTGAGAGCTCTGAATGCTTTGCTCTATGGATGTAATGCATACATTATTTTGCATGGCAGGGATGCCACGAAATCTACAGAAACAGGTTATGCAAACTTCACCTTAATGACCCTGTAATGGTGTCTACAAGATTGGTGATTTCTAATTTTTCATTTGCATTTCCCTTTCCCAATTTAGCTTCTTTCTATTCTGTTTTACAGCTACTCTACCTGCTCATTTTATTCTGTTACCTTCCTACCTCTTCTCATTACTTAAAAGCACTTTTCCTCATTTTTGTTCTTTCCCTGCTCCTGTCTACCTCAAAAAAGCTTCTCCTATTAGCAGATCAGCAGCTATCAGCCACTGCTAATAGGAGAAACAGATGAAATGTTTAATCAATTCTTGGATCTCCTTCCCCTCCACACCAAAAGATTTCCTCAAATCACGGTTTTTTTTCAGCATAGAGAGATTTCTGTCTATCTCCAGATTTGTTCCTAGTATGTGATACAGAATGAATTACCTTATATTTTAATAAACCCTGCACTGATCCCTTGCAGAGAAATTGAAGGACTAAAGATTATTTTATATTGCTTTCAATGCAATTCTTTTGTGAAGAACACGAGCTTCAGCTCTAACATAATATATACACAATGAAAATATTTTCCCTAGTATGGGGGATATCCACTGATAACTCCTATGTTTTGCTCAGTTGTTATTCTTGCTTAGCCAAAATGAAGAAAAGTAGCAATAAAGTGCCTAAGAATTGCTTAGATGGTCTCCACTTTCACTATCAGTTTCTTAGACCAGCTGTAAAAAGTGTCTAAGAATTAAAAGGAGAAAAGAGAACCTACCAATAATCACTTTATATGGTGTGCTCAAGGTTTAAGACCCTTCATAATTTGGCAAAACTTACAGATCAAGTTAATAAAACTTGCAGAAGCTGAGCAGACAAACAAATAAATACACGGAGACTGGCAGATTATTCATGTAAGGTCATAAGAATGAAATGTCAGACATTTTTTGCGATGAATGAAAACTAATAAAAGTGAATTATATATGAAATGTGCTGCACTACATGCTCGCAATTGTTGCAATGAAAACACAGAAGCAGTGATTTTATACCTGATAAATGTTTTCTTCTGTTTCAGGCTCACGGATTGGCTCATGTCCAGCCTCAAACACAATGTACTATTACACCAGCAGCCAGAGAGGAAAAGTCAAAGATGAAACAGAGGGAAAAAGGCAATTTGGAATTCCACATAAAAACACAGGCAGGCATTAAAGAAACAAGTTCAAAGTAAAGGCTGAATGGAACCAGACAACTGGTTTGTTGGGAAGCACAGAGTAAGGTTGTTTCATATTTCATAAACCAGCAGAGAATAGACCTAAATCTCCTCTAATGATCATTAGAGCAGCTTCCTAATTCTTTCTCACTAGGGATACCGCCTGTGGTCCAATATTAATTTTCTGAAGTCAACGTGAATTTTGCCTCTTTTACATAATGGCAATTATTTCCATACGTATTTATTATCTATGAATAAAAAAGCTAAATCCAAACTGGGAGAATAGGCTGGAGCTCGTGCAACATACCACATGGTGAAAGGCTGTCACAACACTTTTCATCTTCGGGTTCTTGTTTTATTGTGAGGAACACATAAAGTAAAACTCCTGACATTATAAAAGCTGAGCGGTAATTTAGGGCATCCTAATCTCTCTCATCTTCCTTGAAACACCTTAGACAGTGCTCAGTAGTCACTAATGCTTGAATTGGTTTCTTTCAGTGTGCCTCCAACTGGTATTTTTAAGTGGAAGAACACAAAATCTCCACAAAACACAAATCTCAGCACAAAAACACGAGAATGAAATTACATCTTTTTTCTTCTTCACACTCAGCAGGATATTGGACATGAATTTATTGACATATTTCTGATAATTATCTTTACTCCCAGGCATTTTGCTTGGATGAAACAAGACTTGAACTACAGATTTATTACTAAATCATAACCCAAAATGCCAACAAGGGAGAGCATTATAACATTAATTCCTCTGTGTTTCTTTTTAACAAATATTCACTCTCTGAATGAAATTCTGGCTGCATAGAAGCCAACAACAAGATGCCAATTTATTGCTATAAAAACAAAGTGTCATCTTCCTTATTTTCGAAGGAACTCTCTTTTCTGTTAGATTGCGTGTTAAAAAAAATAAGGAAATAATGACAGATCTCAGTTGGAAACTCCAAATCTGGACTCAAAAAGTACATTTTAGGAAAGATTCAATCTAGTATTTCTATGCAGAAATGCTATGCTATTACATCTTAATCCCTAAACGTGCTACTTTCTGTAAAACGTAGTCTCTCATGAGATCTATCTCAATACATTTCAAAACATTTTGTGAAAGGCTTTGGCTGTGTTTGAAGATAACATATATCTAGTGATTTCTGAAACTCCCAGGTCGCACAGCTTCAGAAATTACCTGGTATACAGGGTCTTCTACATCTTCTTCCAAAATTGTCTACAGCAAAGTAAGAGGATAGGCAGTAAAAGCAAAGAACATAAACAGCAGAGATAAAAGAACTGTATTCAGAAACCAAAGGACAGCAAAGAACTAAGCAAAATGTGCAGGTAAGTATATAGCTCTCTTTCTTCAGTATGCAGGTAAAGTCAAGTTATTCTATAAAGTAACACCATTCTTGTTTCAAGAGAGTTTAGCAACCTGCACCTTACTTGATTTGACTCAAATGCACACATTCAGAAGTTCAATAAATCATCTCTAAAGCACAATATATTAAAAGCACTACTTGCAACACAGTGGCCCTCATTAAAGTTTTCAACTAGAAGAAACTCTACCTTGGAAATGAGCAGGACACTTCAAATTGCCAAGCATGTTCATCTTACCCCAGGTGACCTCTTTCATCACTGTTTAATTCTACCTCTGAACTCACCATATGCCTTAAATTCACATTTTTCATTCAAACCTACCACTGTCAACAAATGCTGAGGGTACCCCATGCCTCTCTGGAGCAATTCTTGGGGATACTTCAAACTGCATTTTTTTTGGGTGGTAGTCTAAGCTTATGCATGTACCTGGTATACCGCCTGTTCACACTGCTTGTCTTTTTGCGCCTTTTTTTCCATTTCTTCCCTTTGTTTCAGTTCATAGATGAGCTGAAACAGATCTCGCAAGTCCAGAATCACAGGTTCAGCCTACGGAAATAGAAGCAGTGTGAAAGGTTTCTAATGAGGAAAGGAAAATTGTAATTAATCACTGGGAAAAAAAAAAGTACAAAAAAAACCCATCAAGAATAATTGTCAATAGTGAAATATATTGCTTTTCTTCTTTTTTCCCAAAAAAGGTTTCATTAATTGGCCATTTAAGAACATCTAAACAAACTCCAAACACAGAAAGAATACAAGATGGGCCTCTTAAAGAGCTGCTTATGAACATGGCCTTTCAACTGAGCTCTCGGAACAGGTCCAGAGGAGGACCAGAAGGCTGGAGCACCGCTCCTATGAAGAAAAGTTGAGGGAACTGGGCTTGTTTAGCTTGGAGAAGAGAAGGCTCTGGGGAGACCTCACTGTGGTCTTCCAAT